GTGCACATGTACACACACATATGTATACCCTGTATGCACACACAGGAATACGTACCTTGTGTATCTTGTATACGTGTGTGTTTTTATGTACGTGTGTGTATTTGAGGCTTATTACTACCCTTAGAAGATATCTTCCTGTACTCACCTTTAGGGAGTTACTGATTGTTTCATGTCAGTCATTTTCAGTTCAGTAAAAACATTGTGGAATCTATTGCCAGGCACTGTTCTGGGTACCGCGCATGCAAAGATGAATAAGACAGTTCATATCATGTAGTTTATTTTCTTAAAAACTTTCATTTTTCTTTGGTTATCCCCATGGGGGAAGCAGAAGGAGAGGAGCATGAGATCAATGATGAAACAGAATACAGAGTATGATTAGAGAGCAGAGTGATTGATGGGCTGATAGACATTATTCTGAATGTACAGAAATTAGATTATTATGCCAGGGAAATTATCAGAAGAAAATTGTCAGAGATACAGGAAAAATAATGAGTATGCTAATCTTTGCTTTGTTTACATTTATGTTGCTTAAAAAGTATTTCAACTATGAATAATTTAGATTTTGAAAATGTGACTCGATTCATGGATAAAATTGTTACCCTTTTACTTTACAATGAACTCAGTTTGTATTTTAGGATTGGGATTTATAGAATATTATAAACTGTACTAATATTTGAAATGTATTTTTAACAGGTAGAAGTATAGGTACAGATAATGTATGTAGAGATAGACTGGAAAAGACCATTATTCTTTTTACTAAAGTGGTAAGTTTTCTTTTTATCTTAATTACGTTTTCTCAGATAAAATGCATATATGCAAATTTAGTAAGGAAAACAATATTTTTATAAGCATACATTTTCACTTTTGTTTAAAGTAACTTATTTTCTGACTGTTAATAGGAAAACGAAAACAACCCTTTGTATCTTGAAGCCTTTAGAATGCATATAATAATTAAAGTTATATACCATATATTATAATGTCTCGGTCACCTTGATGTAAGAATTCAATCCTAGGAAGTATTAGAGAAGTTGATTCCTCTAAAGTTCATTATTCTCAGACCCACTGGAAAAAGCAGAGCTAAAGGAGATGCCAGTGCAGCAGAGCAGGAGGTACATAAGGTATAGCTGGCAGTATAATATCACGAAGTCATTGTATTCAGAATGACAGATTATCATCATCAAATTAAACATCTTTTGAATAGAATTGTATGGATACATGGTGCTAGACAATGTGTATAAATTTCTGATAAAATTAAATTTTATAAAAATAGTAATTTTTATGAAACTTTGGGCTTCAGGGGTTAGGAAAAATACAAAGAATTGGATTATAGCAATCAGGAAGACCTGGTTTAAGAACTGCATTGACTGAAACAGATAGTTGAAGACAGGTGGCAATATCTAAATCTTTATAGTTTATTTCCCCTTTTTCAGTGAAGGTTCATTAATAAGGTTGAGGCTCTCTGTTCCCTGGGAGGGGAGAAAAGGAGTAGAAATGATCTGTTCTTATTTTTGTAGTTAGGTAGCAGTTACTTTTAGCTACCTCAATTGTCTTCATTTCCAACCTCATGTTCCAAATAGCCTCAACAGCAAAAGCCCACCTAATCTTCCAAGATCCAGTAAAGTTGACTCAGATCCTTTAAATTAAAAAGAAAAAAACACAAAGCAAAGTAAAATAAGATGATGTGGTTAGTCTGTGGGGCTGTGCAGTGTTTATAAATAATTTCATGTATGAAATTCATATTTATGATCCTTGTGACTTTATTAAAGCTTTTAAAATTGAAACGGTTCAAACATGCCTCCAAATAGAATTGAATAACTTTGAGTCAGCTGCAGCAATTATCAATGTTTGGTTATGGTCAATTCTGTGTTACCGGTATGCTTCCTCCACCTGCCATCCTTGCTGGTTGTTTTAAAAAATCTAGATTATCATGTAGGATTATCTGTAAATATTTAAATATGTGTCTTGAAGTGATAAGGGATTAAAAAAACAACAGCCTTAACACCATTATCACATTGAAAAAGTAGAAATTATTTCTTAATATTATCTAAATATTTAGTCAGTTTCAGATTTCTCTCTTAACAGTTGGTTTGTTAGAATCAGGATTCAGTAGTGTCACTTCCCTTTCCACCTTTCTTCCCACTTGCTATTTATTTGTTGGGATGACAGATCATTTCCCGCAGAGCTTTTCATGTTTTGGGTTTGGCTGCTTGCATCATGATGTGTTGTTTA